AGTGCCTCCACTGGCCATTGCCACCCTTCAAGAGGCGTCGGTACAAGATGGATTGTTTTGGAGCTTTCACACCTTGGTTCGTGGGTACGCGACACGAGGCCAGCTTCGATGAAGGGCTTGTTGTGGTTTGTGAGCAGAATGAGGCTTTCCAGACTCTTCCTTCAAAAAGGGTGGACTATGCCAGAGTTGAGACAGTCTTAAAGCTCTTGCAGGCACACTTGGTGCCAGTACCTGAGGAGCAGGGTGATTAGTTCATATTAGTTCTTGATATTGCATCAGCATTCTTCGTCTCGTGCGCAGGAGAAACGCCGCTCCTTCGGGGATATCCGAGCACAGCGCTGAATTTTTTTGCGCAGTTGTTTGCTGTGGGGCTCCGCATAATCCCTGCAGCTACCTAAGGATCAGCTCAAGACGGAACCCTCCAGGACCTGACCCTGGGCATCGTGATTGATTGAGACCAGCGTCCTGCTTCTCTGAAACAATTTGGAGTAGATCGAAGCTTTTCGGGATGCTTACCCTTGGTCCAGTTACTGCGATTAGCGCACATCAACCATATCTACAGTATATTTATAAGAGAGCTCGAAGTTATGCGGGTGTGGTTTTTATGCGTTTTGGTGGTGTTTTTCTTAGATTTTGTCATGTGTTGAAAGAGTTTCCACGGTTGCGGTCTAGATTCTAGATATGTTCTTGTGCTCCTGTTTCCCAAACAAAACCAACTCTTCTTTTTTAAACAACCTCTGGATCCGACTCTACCCTTCCTTGCCCATAAGCATTCTCATTGTTTCAAAGGCTAGCGCTTTTTGGGCTTCTCCCTCCACATTCTTTATGAAATGGAGAGAAGATCATTATCTTGAAAAACAATGTGCCCACCAGGCCCAGCAAAAGTTGAGAAACTTGCTTAGTAGTAGTGGACCTGGATGACTGATTGGAATTGGGCTTTGCATGGCCTTCTTGACGTCCATACCCATAATAAGCCTCATCCTCATTCTCAGGGTCGTAGGGAACTACTCTGCGAGCATTGGGAGTTCACATCCTATCCCACAAGTTCGATTGGACCAAACCTGCTCATCTCCACTGCTCTCACCCAATGGCTCTTCAGATCTATGCTCCATATCCCCCCATCTACGACGAAGTCTTCCAAAGACTCTTATCAAGCCCATGGAGCGATCCAGCCATAGATACACTGAGGGTCTGAATTGGCTGTGTGGCCACTACTCATTCCCAAGCTCATGAAGAACCTTCTCTTCAACCCAACCTTCTTGCCCACACATAGACATACATGAAGTCAGGTTGTACCAAACCTGGCATGCTCAGCATGCTCCCAATGTTCACAATGTTCACCCAACATTGCCAAGGACATTCTTTCTCGTGATGCCACCCAAGCTCAAGACCTCATTGGACCTCACCAACGCCCACCCAAAAGTAAACCAATAGATTGTGCAAAAAATATACCCTACCAATTGCATGAATCATAAGGATCAACCAATGTTGTACATCTGGGGGGGGGCGCGAAAAAACAAACATTGCTCGTGGAATTGGACAACCAACTATTACTATTATTATATATGTTTATTTGTTTGGCGCCCCCCGCCAGAGAAGCCCAGACCCAGGCCCCAGTTGCTGGAGATTGAGGACTCATTGAGATTGGAGGTCTTGGAGACCAGATCCCCCTCATAGAGGTGATGACCTGATGATGTATGATGTGATGTCATGGACTTTCTGATAGATGATGGTTGATGGACTTCTGTGTGGGAATCGTGAGAGCTAGTATTTTTGCAAAAACTTGATGAGAGATCTGACAGATTACACGTCGACATTTTTGCTAGACACATTCTGCAAAACAACCAACATTTTTAAAAACCGTAGAATAACCACACACCACAAAAACGCGTAAAAACCACATCCGTATAACTTCGTTTTCTGATTTATAAATAGGTCTGGGTTTTTGTTGTTCGCTTGCATAGATTTCTTGGCCATATCACAATACATCCAGTGAAACATGTGTGGGGTTTTTCTGGTCGGTCTCAATGCCAGGACCTCACATCCCTTGTCTCAGCCCAAGTCGATGCAGCGCCGACCTCAGATGCAACATGATTACAGGAGTTGGATGCCACAGCAGTCTTAATGGAGATGATAAAATGTGAGGCCTGCGAAGCCACTTCAGGTAAACTTTTCTCAACAGAGGCTGTGGAGCCTAGAACGGCGTAGAAGCTGCTTGGCCGTTGGCCAACCTTTTGATATGCTCCATTGACTGCTCTCCGAAAGTCCATACAAGTTGAGAACCTGACAGGCTCAGCCAAGTCTGCCTTCGGGATGTTGAGGTGCCAACGAAGAACCTTTTTCTTCTTTCCTGGGAAGACTTCCCCTCCAAGCAAATTTGACTATTGATGAGCACAAACGGATAATGACCGCTTTCTTGATCAAGGGAGAGAGGGAGAGGGAGAAAGTTCACATGAATTGGCGTGGGATAAATTACGCATGAGGTATCACTTTTACTTGAACTGACGTCTGGATAAGAGGAGCATGACGATCGGGGCCATGGTAGCGCAACTGGAGAAGCTCTCAGATCTGACACAAGAAAACCAAACAAGTGGCACAACACTTGCAGGCAGGTTTCTATCCCTGACTCTAGACATCAGACGTGATGGCTTTTTGCTGGCTCACACTGAGGCACGACGATCTACGACGATTTCCGGGGCTTGCCCAGAAAGCTCCAAGAGCAGGTAGTTCGGAAGCCCAGCTCTCTTTGAGAATGCGTGACTATCAACTTCGACGTTCAGCTTTATGTAGTAGTTTTTTCCTCGGCTCGGCATCACTCTACTTTTGCCCGGATTTGTGCGGCTTGATATCTCCTTTTTGACTTATGAAGGCATTCCTATATTACTGCAAGTCTTGCAACTGGGTCTGGTTGTCTCATGTCTCAAGGCTTCCTTGTACCAAGAGCTGGAGGAAACCAAGGACCGCTCACGCAGCTCATGCCCCAAAGTTGCTTTCACTGGCACCTTCTGTGACAGATTGAGATTGAACTGCAGCATTACATTCACAGACACCATAAACAAATGGCAAATAGACCAGGAATGCAAGCGGCGCGCAGAGCAAGAGAATGTAGAGATCATGAACTATTTGTCAGCCGCGAATCCAAGAGAAGTCATCGAATTGCGAGTCAAGTCACAAGGCTCAAGTTAGGTCCTTTTGACCCGAGGCAATCCTGAACGACGACACCCCTGCGCAGTACGCACTAACTATGGGACCATTAGACTCTCTTCCACCAGGACTAGTTGTGTTTCTTTGAGCAGAGTGAGTTCCTTTGGCATCAAATTCAACTCTTGACGAGGACCTCAAGAAGAGGAAGAGGAGGGAGACGAGGAAGGAGGAAAGCGCCCGGCGGAAGAAACGGCATCTCCATTGAGAGCTCCTGAGTGGGCTGCTGAGCGAAGATGTGCTCATGTAGAAGATGCCAGCATACTTGTTTTCCTTGTGGTTCAGAGAACTGAAGCAAGTCCTCTCAACAGCCCTACAGGAACCACGCAACAAATCTGGGGTCAAAATAGTCAAAGGTGCCGCTCTTCAGGGCTACTTTGGAGGATGGAAAAAAAGGGGTCCATTGGGTCCCTGGAAGCTCATCACCCAAAGCCGAATATAATCTTAGAACGTCGAAAAGCATCGAGCAATTCTTTTTCACAAGAGATTGACACCCAATGAATGAGATGAGTTGACCACTTCTCAGCCTGTTCAGCTGCATGGTCCACAAAGTCTACATGCTACATCATGCTACCAAGTATAGAGGACACGCAACAACACTTTGTTCACTTAAGGCCATTTGAACCGCCACCGCCGTTGCCTTTTCCTGCAGAGCGCGTGTCAGCGGCTGGGGAACCTACTGGACCATGCTGTGCCGCTGAGAGAACGCTTTATTCTATGATTTCTCAAGTAGCCTCGAGCTTACCTTGAGGCCCCACACCTGGTTTCGCAGCCACCTCCAGCTCCCGACTTCTTGTCCAAACCGCTGGTAAGGGGCTGAGTATGAAGTTGAGAATGAGCTAATTGTGGACTTGGAACTTGGAACGCTACATAATCGATTACTGTATATATATATATAATTGGATATGGAATTGACCTCATCATTAGCCGGGGCCGGCCCAGTGTCTTCTCCTGTCAAAGCCTGAAGAAGAAATAAGGTGAACATAAGCTTTGGTGGTGGACCGCCGGAGAGCTGGGGATCAAGCCGAGCCCCGAGTTTGGTCCTTCTTCCCACAACTGATTTCTTGCATGTTAGGGGTGAGGTAGTGAGGCAAACATGTCAGATCATGTTAGCTTATGAGGTAGCAAGGACGCTACTAGGGGCTCCTGGCCATACTACTAGGAGCATTCTTGCCACTATGTCACTAGGAGCATCATGTAGTGAGTTTAAGACTTCTTTCACTTCCGCCGATGCACGACGATTTCTGCAACTCAGGCACTGAGACCCGACGCCCTGCGGATGTCCTCCAGGACTACAGTGTAAGCTATATGAGGAGTCATGAGTAGCGAAGTAATGCACATTCAATAAGTTCGCCATGGTTCACTCGTTGACAAACATTGTCGCCTTTTCATTTGTGGATTTTGTATCTTAAAGGAAATTTGAGGTGTCAAATGCAAAAGAGTAGGTCCTTGGAGCCCCAGGAGTCACTGGCCACTGTGCTTCCAACAGCTTTCCGTCAACTCCTTGACCGCCCGCAAGCCTTAGCAGAACAGCAGATGCAGCATTTTCAAGAGAGGCCGCTAGTTGTGCGCGATGGGACATAATATTGACGCTTGTATCCCCGAGAAATTCAGTTGCATGTGTTTCATGTGGAAAGACTTTCTGCTTCTTTCATTGATCATTCGGACATATGTATGTCTTCTGGAACGACTGATGATGTCCACCGCGAAGATTTCATGATTTGAAGGCAGCAGTTGCAGCAGAGCCTCCAGCAAGTGCAGCAACAGCTTCAGCAATTGCAGCAACAGGTAAGCCAAGGCAAGCTAGCGCATTTGCATGTCAAGACTGAAACGACTGAAGCACACTCCAAGTATAGCTCCAATGGCAGATGGCTTGTAACATGGCAGCTGTGTTCAATAAATGGCTCACCGACTTTGTAAGAATTGAATTCAAGCGCCATGGACCACTTCAAGGTCACATTACCACCAGTTTGGTGGCTGCGTTTAGACAACCGACTGGTTCAAACTCTTGCGTTCAGCACTGCCCCCGTCCCCCCACAAAGAGGTTTCTGCCACAGACATTGCTTTGCAGGTTGTGTTGAGACGACATGAATCCTATCCAAAGCAGTGTAAGTCTAAGACTAAGATGCCAACAACACCGAAGCAGGGGTGCTTGGTGGCAGGACAAGGGTGATTTTTGGGATTTGATTAAATTGTCAATCTGCCGCGGTGCTTGTATCACAGGTCGGGTAGAAACCCAAACAGACTAGGTTGGGCTGAGTCGCAGTGAATCGCTGTGAGATCCGTGAGGAAAGAAGCCCGAAACGCCGCTTCATTCGCAGTGCTTCGCCTCAGGATTTGCTGCACTGAGCGTAAACACCTGAGTCACTTGCTGTTTTTGACAGAATGCACGGCATCATCGGTCACCCATGCATAACACGCACAAATCAAGAAGTGCACCAACCGATGTATAGGCTCAAGCCTGTGGGAAACACGTTTTCCGCTTCGCATGGTAGCGGAGCTCTGGTCGTAAGAATCGGAGCTCCCTACCGACGTCACCCTTTCGCACCACGACGCGCCATAGCGGCCGAAGATCCAGGGCAGTGGGCATTGGATTGGTGGAGCTTTTGCTCCTGGCGTGCATCGCCAGTGGTGCTGGCGATCGATTTTGTCAAGAGCTCAATCAATACAGGCCGTGGGCCGTGATGGAGGAAGTGAAGCCAGAGGAGGTGCATACAAGTGAAGGATACCTGATCTCCACGAAGTTCGTCTACTGCTGGAAGCATAGAGTCGAGCGTGGAGGATGGCTTCGAAGAGCACGTCTGGTAGCCAGACAGTTCAAGTCCAGTGTAGTGTGGACATGGAGCAAACATTCGCTCCGACATCGATGCTAGTGATACCGAAGATGCTCATCAACCTCATGCTGAACGTCTTCAAGCATTTCATGGCCATGACGTTGGACATCAAAGACGCTTTTCTGATGGCCGCGCAACCTGAAGATGAGAAGGCCTATGTGGAGGTTGATGGCAAGGTCTATAGACTGATCCGACGCCTGCCCGGACAACGAACAGCAGCATCGCAGTGGTTTCAACTTTTCACTGGAGCTGCAAAGGAGTTTGGCATGGAGCAGGACATCATGCAGCCTACACTGCTGATGATCCACAAGGTGATCTACATCACGGTGCATGTGGATGATGTCTTCATGGTCGGTGACGAGAAGGCCATAGATGAAGAAGAAATGGAGCATCGAGGAGAAAGGACCTTTCTTGATGGGAGAGCGATTCTCCTATCTGAAGAGAGACTTCACCCTCTACAGGAGTTGGTGCGACATCCGCTGTGACTACAAGCAATATGAAAGTCTTGGCAAGGAGATGGACTTGTTCAAGAAGGCCTACAGAAAGACACCTATGGAACAAAGTTTCAGCAAGAGAGATGAGAGCGAAGAACTCCAAGGGGCCGAAGTGACAAAGTACAGGAGTGTTGTTGGGAGGCTGATGTACCTCTCAGGTGAGCGCCCAGATGCTCAATTTGCCATCCAGAACCTAGCCCGCTTCATGTCTCGCCCTACGAAGCAAGCCTGGAACAAGGCATGGCGTGTGTGTTCCTTTTTGCAAGGCGCAGAGGGCTATGGAGTGAGGCTGACAGCAAGATCCAAAGGACAACCGGTGATGAACTTGAAGGACTCCGAAGAGGTGGAGGACAAAGAGCTGCATCTCCTGGAAGTGGTCACAGATGCAGACTATGCAGGTGATCGAAATGACCGCAGAAGCATGACATCCTTTCAGGTGTTCATCGATGGAAACCTCATGGAGTCAAGGGTGAGAGCCCAGAAGGCGATATCTCTTTCATCAGGAGAGTCAGAATTTGTGGCTGTGGTAGCAGGATCTTCGGATGGACTGCTCATCAAGCACCTGTGGGAGAAGATCGCAGAAGAGAAGTGTGAAATGAAGGCGCGGTCCGACAGTTCAGCTGCAAGGGCAATGGTTCAAAGACAAGGCATCGGTCGTGTCCGACACTTGGACGCTTCGCTGCTCTGGGTTCAGCAGAAGGAGAAGGAGAAGACCCTGAGCATTGGACCCATCCCAACAGATCTCAACTGTGCAGATTTAGGCACCAAAGCCTTGACCAAGAAGCGCATGATGGGACTCCTCTACATGCTGAAGATGGTGCAGCACGGAGGAGAAGAGGAGTACAAGGAGCTCGAGCACCGAGAGCAGATGAAGAAAGGGTTGAAGAAGTTGAAGAAGGTGATGAAGAACAAAGACCTTCACATCGGGCTGTTGCTGATGATGACAACAATGGATCAGGCAGCAGCAAGCAACATCCCTGAAGAGAACGAGAAGGAGGATGAACAGGGGTGGCAGAGGATGATGTTCTGGCTATGTGCCATAGTGGGTGACAGAATGCACAGCATCATCGGTCACCCATGCATAACACCCACAAATCAAGAAGTGCACCAACCGATGTATAGGCTCAAGCCTGTGGGAAACACGTTTTCCGCTTCGCAATTTTTGTTGGTCCCTTCCTTTTGTTGTAAGAAACAGTAGCAATTCCCAACATCCAAGATTTCGGGCACGCGGGCACGCCCCCAACTTCAATGTTGGTGTCAAGAACCACAACCACAGCCATGCTGCAATGCTGTTTTTCCCTCACGACTCCGACTTCAATATTGAAAGCGCCCTGGTGGCTGTAAACGGATGGACTGCAACCTTGTGTAGTGTAGTCCATGGCTGGATTCTCCGAAGAACCTAACATGCATTTTGATAAAGCACTTGGTGGGCCAAGTCAAGAAAGATGCAGGTCGTGTTGAGATTGAAGTGGCCCTTACTAGGAAGTTTAAGGAGGCTAAAAGAATCCGTGAGTTGCTGGCATTGCTTCTTCATTTGTATCAGCCAGTTGTCAGTTGTCTGTATTCTGCTGGCCGAGGCGCTCCTTGTTAGAGCAGCTCCGGGCTGAACTGGCTGCGGAGCGGCGGCGCATGCAGGAGCAACAGCGACTGCAAATGGAGCAGGACGACATCAGGAAGATGCCATTTCTCGAACATCTTAGGAATTGACGGATTGTACTCGTAGAAAGTGTTCACTCGTCGTTCTTTTGTTTGCGCCAGGAGCAGCAGAAACAAGTTCAGCAACAGCATTTGCTTGAGCAACTCAGTCGACAGATGCTTCAGGCTCCGCAGGATCAGCACCCTGGCTTGAAAGACCGACCCCATAGTCTGATTGTGGCGCGGTCGGACAATGTGATGCTGGGTGCAAAGTTTTAATATGCCGAGAGATTTGCCAGTTAAGCAATGTCACGAATATTATTCGACCTTGAACCTCAAGTGGAGCTTCATGCCAAGGCCACACTTGTCCTCGGAGGTTCAGAGGATGCTTTCGGAGCTCAGGACAGGTAGAGGTTTTGCATACATGCATCACAAGAAGAGTTTAGTGCATGGGACTCTAGCAGCCTAGCGCAGCATGTAATGCATTTGCTTGATCCACTTGGAATAAGAACAATGTAACCAAGTTCGTCTTCCAGGCAGAAAGGGAGAAGCAGAAGAGTTTGTACATGTGTGGCGCTTTGGCAGACACCTGACTTGGGATTTGTTTTGAATGCAGTCGCTGCAGCCATTTTT